CGAATTGGTGGTGGAAGACTTGGCAAGCCTTTTGGGCTGTAAGGTTGATCATTTTCCTATCATTTATTTAGGTCTTCCTGTCTCGAACTATAGGTTACTTGTCTCGGTTTGGGACCAGGTAATTCAAAGGATGCAAAAGAAGTTGGATCCATGGAAGCCCAAATTTTTGTTGAGAGGGAGAGTGATTCTACTACGATCATGTTTGTCTAAGTTACCTATCTATCATATGTTAGTGCTGAAAATGCCTAGGAGAGTGGTTAAAAAAATGGGAGCAGATGATGTGTAATTTCCTTTGGGGTTCATTTGGAGAGGGAAAAAATTATCACCTCCTAAGATAGGATAGACTTTCTATACCTAAAAGAGAAGGTTGTTTGGGCATTAGAAAAATTTCTCTTATGAATGATGCTTTACTTTGTAAGTGGTGGTGGAGGAGTAAGTTTAAGGAGTAGCTATGGGATCTTGTCCTTAGTACTAAGTATGGTGTAGATTGGTTTAGTTTCTGGGTTGGAAGGGGAAGAGGTAGCTCTAACAGATCTATTTTTTGGAAGGATATTTTTCTTTGCAAATTTCTTGTATCAAGGAATGTTAGATAGTGGGCTGATATGGGATATGAGGTGTCCTTTTAGCATCATAAGTGGATTGGAGACATTGTGCTAAAATTTTCTTACCTTGAACTTTTTGAGAAGGTGGTAAATCCTAAGACAAAGGTGGCTGAAGTCTTTGATATTGTGAGCAATCAAGTGACTTGGAATTTACAGTTTCCATATAATATAATGGAAGATAGACTTCTGCACAATTATGCTGATTTGTTGAAAGAACTTCAGGATTTGTACTTCTCAAGAAGAATGAATGATATAGTTATTTGGGATGCTGAAATGGATGGTCAATTCACAGTTAAATCAGTAAATTCTATCATGTTTCATGATAGATGGAGGTCGTCGATGCCCCTAATAGCTCCAATTTGGAAGTGGCCAATACCACACAAAGTACAAGTCTTTATTTGGTTGGTTGTATAAGAGAAAGTGCTTACAGTTGATAACCTTAATAAGGGTCATAAAATTCTGCCAAATGTATGTTTGTTATGCAAAAGTGATGGAGAATCTTGCTCTCACTTATTTGTTTATTGCTCTTTGAATACCTTGGTATGGAATGTCTTTTTCAAACGTTTGGGGATTAGTGCAATGCTACCTGAAAATGTATCTCACTTAACCTGTCATTGCTTGTCAAGTGTTGGTGGCATTATTTGGAAAGTGGTAAGAGGAGTAGTGCTATGGGAACTGTGGAAAGAGCGAAATATGAGAGTTTTCGAGGGGTCTACCTTGTTATTAGAAAGGGTCATCAACAACATTTCTCATTCTATTTGGAGTTGGCTGAGCGTAACTAAAGATTGTTGAGGTATCTCACAAGTAGATGTTTTGGTGAATCTCCACAATATAGATGTTTTGGTGAATCTCCACACTATTATCAATATGAAGGTCATTAAGAATAAGCTGTTGAACAGAGGATTCCTTTAAACTAAACTTTAATGGCAATTCTTTTGGTAATCTGGGAGAAGCAGGGATTACGGATTAGGGGTATTATGAGAGGCTCATCTGGGGATGTTACTTTTGGCTTCTCAGGACCCTTGGGTTATGCTACTGCCAATCACGTAGAGATAGCAGTCCTTTTACAAGGGTTGAAGCTCTTAAGGCCAGAAGTAATGGTGTCTCTTGTGTGGTGGAGGGCGATTCTGTGAATGTAATTAATTGGTGCACGAAGATGCTAGTTGTGCCATGGTCCATAAAGCCTTTGTGGTGCGAGATACTTGATTTGACAGAAGGGTTAGTGGTTACATTCCAACATGTCTATAGGGAAGCCAACTCTTGGGTTGACTCTCTTGCTAAGAGAGGGGTGCTCTTGTCATCTCTTTTGGTTATTGATGATGTAAACTAGTTGTAACCTCTTTTGGATCAATAAATTTAGTAACATTTGTCAAAAAAATAATAATAATAAGATTGGAAAATTATACTATTGGACCAATTTTCTTTTGGTACAATGTGGTTGTAATTATTTACAGATGTTGCATGCGAAATTGGGGTTGAAAGTGTGTGCCATTGACAAGGCCTACAGTGTAAAAAGAAACAGTTTCTAGCTCTTTGACACGCCCAAGCTCTTTGGTTTTATATCTAATTCACTATTAGAAAAATTGGGCAATCTAACTGGTAACCGCTCGGTTCGATCGGAACCGGCCAGCGGCCAATTCTGATTTTGGTGACCGATCGGGTATTTAAAAAAAATATAAAAATATAAAAAATCCCAAAAATAATTGATTTTGTTTGTAATATATTTTTTAATGTTTTTTGTCATTATGGAAAACAATGGCAATTATTTTGGTCATTAATACTTATTTTTATATTTTTCCATCTTATTTTAAAAAATTTGAAAAATACTCTAGGTACAAATTGATTATTTAAAATGCATTTTTTTCATTAATTTTCAACTTCATTTGGATGTACTTTGTTTAATAGTTCTTAAAATATACTTTTTTATATTTTATTAGATTTGTTTTTATTTTATTTTTTTAGTTTTGTAACACTTTTTTAAGCACCGGAGACTTGACCGGTTAGAATGGTTGAATCGGCCGGTACCAGTTAGGCCAGTTAAACCGCTTCCGAGCTCGCATCCGGTTAACTGTTCCGATTTGATTTTGGGAACATTGATCTAGTGGCTAGAGGTGATTGTGATCTCTTTGCACATAAAGATAAATTATACAATTCACAAAAAAAAATGTTTGAGGAAGAAAATTTGGGGATCGAATCGTATTTCACAAATTTTGTTAGTTCAACTTAAATTTTGAAACCAAAGACACAAGACCGTCTTGATGCTAAGGACGTGCCAATCTTATTCTAGAACAAAGACTAAGCCCAGGTTTGGTTGCAACTTACACTTTGGTCAATGTCTGTTTAGCATTTGAGAAAAAATGAGATGTTTTGCATGTAGGATGAAATCCAGTATCTGTGGTATCTCATCTCATTCGCAAGATACCAATATTTTTTTTTAGAGGAAAGTTTATTTGAAGTTTCAACCTTATATTATAGAAGCAAGGTGCATCCTAAAAATCTGTCCAAAAGGTTATTCGGGTGTCGAAAAAAACTACAATTGATCATCTGGACATCAAGATATATACATATGAAAAAAGAACAAAAAAAGATTTCAAATCATCAAGATAGTGCTTCTCATAACAATCTAGACCATCTATTTTTAAAAAATTTTAAGTGTTTATAAATCTGCTTCATCTAAACTATTTTTAAAATATTTAAATTTTATAATTATATCTGAAAATAAATTTAGGCTATTATAAGGGTTCCGGGCACCGGCAATGTATCTTTTAGCAAGATTTAGAGGTGCACTTTTGATGGTTTAAGAGTGACGCCTCATACAAAACCCCACTCTGTTTTTGACTGCATCCACACGTAAATGTGGTTTTGAGGTGGCACGCAAATGAGCAACTTAACCACAGAGTCGCCATCACATAAAATGCAGCTGAAAACATATTTTGGTGGCGTCTAGAGGAGCCCTACTTTTACTCCTTTCGTGATATATTTTTTGCATTTCTAGAAAAGTTATCATTGGGCGTTTTGAGGAAATTAGGATGTAAAATAATATCAATAAAGGATTTAAAGGTGCTTGTTTAGTGCAGAATAGCATATGATGTGATATGATTCCGAAGGTGGAAAGGTGAAAGAGGTTTTATGTAGATTGTACATTATGAGACTATTTATTTTTATTGCAAGGAAGTCACAATTGCTACTATTCATTAGATGTCAAATTGGATGATTTGGGAGTCATACAAAGTTCAAGATTTTTTTTTTTTTTAACTTCGAATCTAGTCAATGACATGCTCATAACCAACTGATTTGAAATCGACAGACATGAATGATTATGACCTCTTGAATTAAAAGTAAATGGTCTCTTTCTATACTTTTGCTATAGAACTTAAAAGGGTAAAAAGTTTATATAAGGATGCAACCTTATAATGTAGAACTACAGATGCACCTCAAAAATCATTTGGACAAGGTAGTTTTAGCTTTGAAAAACCTTTTGATTGATCATTTCTGTATGACCATGAAAAATAAAAAGATTTTAAGTCTCAGAAGTAGTGCATTTTACAACATATTATCTACCTTGTCTATTTTCAAGATTTTCATATATTTATTGATCTATTTGATTTTAACTATTTTTTAAATTTAAAATTTTATAATTAGATATAAAAAAAAATTTTAAGATAATCCTAAGAACATTTTACATCAAAATTATATACCACGATAAAATTTGAAAGCGCACCTTACCTCTACTGCTACGGATGCATCCATATGCCAACTGCACCCCTTAAAAGGAGAGAAATGAAATCTCGTAATATAAAAAAGACAAATAGCCATTACTCAATAAAGGATTTCGCGTTCTTAGTTTAACCCTATGACATTTTATTTATCATTTCATTCTAGAGATTAATATTCTTGCCTTTTCATTCAATTGAAGGTGAAAGGTGACCCCACTCCTTGAAAAAATGAAAAGAAATAAAGCTTGACTTAACTACTTAAAAAAAAAGGAGCAAGGAGAGGGAGACAATGTAAAAGACGACTTCTAATTAAAAAGAGCAGATCCCATTGTGAATAAATACAAGAATTCGTCATGGCCTAGACGAACAAAGGCCATAGTAACCATCCACCAAACCCTTGGGATTATCCCTTGTACACCATCCCTCATGGAGAAAATTCCAAGGCGATTCTAGGTATCCTCTCCCAAATGCAGCATTACTCTTCCCTAAACCATACATTCGATGAAGACAATGCATAAAATAAATACATTATCACCCAATGTGAAGCATCCCCCATGCTCTATATATCCCCACCTCAAATACTCACTTAGCTCCCCTTTCCAATATCACTAATACTAGGAGCACCACCACCACCACCATCACCATGGGATCCCTTTCCTCTCTACGACCTTCGCATGCTACCATGGCCACCTCATCGTCGCCAGGTAGTAACAGTAACACCTCTGGCTATAGGATCTATGCTTCGTTCTACAACCCGAACCCCGGACCATATGATGAAATTGGTAATTGGGTCGAGGCTTACCACCCGTTAGACAACTCATGGCACAATGTGGGCCCCATCCCCGACCTCCTTGAGGGACATGTCCTTAGGGACTTCGCCATGGTCGCCGTGGCCCCTGTGGTATACTTTATCGGTGGCAGACTCTGCCGTAAGGATGATGATGTAGGAGAGGTAGATGTTGCGGTGCGCTCGGCTGTGTACTGCCACAATGCTCAAACACTGGAGTGGTCTCGATGCGCACCACTTGGCACTCCAAGGTTTGATTTTGCATGCACAGTCAGCGATGGGAGGATCTATGTGGCAGGGGGCCAGTCTAGCCTGAAAGGAGCACGTGGGGTCTCGACTGCTGAGGTGTACGATCCTGGGCTTGATGTATGGACCCCACTTCCTAGCATGAGCACTCTTCGGTACAAGTGCGTCGGGGTGACATGGCAGGGTAGGGTCCATGTGGTTGGAGGCTTCACCGAGAGGGGAGGCGATATGTCTCCTCTTCCCTCTGACACTGATAGGAGCTCAGTGGAGGTCTTCGACCCCACTCGTGGAGTCTGGGAATTGATAGCTAACATGTGGCAATTAGATGTACCTCCAAATCAGATCGTGGCCGTCGGATCCCGACTCTTCAGCTCTGGTGATTGCCTAAATGAATGGAAGGGACATATTGAAGCTTATGATGGAAATCTCAACATATGGAACATGGTAGATGGCTCTCAACTAGAGTATTTGTCTTCTCCTATATCAAGCCCCTTGGCTAGTGAACCCATTCAACAAAGTGAAAGGATTTATGTGACCATGGCACCCATTGGGACCCACTTGTACTTCCTCGCCGGTTATCGGCTGCCAGATAGGGACCATGGATGCATGTCTGTGGTCCATACTTTCGACACATCAGCCTCTGAGGACCAATGGAGAAGCTTGGAGCCAGTAGAGGAGTATGCTTGCAAGGAATTATGCAGCCATTGTAGTGCGATTCAGGTTTCATAGCCTCTAGAGAGTGTGGGCATTCTCTTCTCAAATGATGCACTCATGAAAATGCCTTGCTCCACAATTCTAATATATTAGTTGTTTAAGAGATTCACTAAACTCCCTTTAGAGAAGCATTTAATTAGGGGATTCTTTGGAAAATAATTTTGGAACTTTTAAGACATGATAATTCAGGAGCTTAATAAGTTTATGGTTATGATAAATACATAGATGATGTGAAGCCTTTATGCTTTCAGTTAGTTTTTTTTGAGTTGGGACTCATCAAGACTATGCTTGAGTCCATGTTTGCATGTAAATTAATTCAATATTCATTAGCCCTTTCCCAAAATATGAGCATTTATCTCCAAATGTCACCAACTAAAAGTAATAATAAAGCCTTGATTGTGGAAACTCAATCAAGAAGGCTATGCATAAGCATGAATTTTCTAAAGAGTCCAAAGCCTCTCTTTTTTATTTCTGGAATCAAGAAAGCCTCTTTTCTTGAGACTGCAACAGTTGATCATTCTTATATTACTATTACCACTTATGATCTTTGTTAGATGAACAGTTATACTACATCCTAAATAGTAGTTTTGTTTGATGTGAAGTTTCAATTGTCATGAAACTTCTCTATGCAAGTGTGAACTATTAAGGAATAGAAAATTTATGTGTAACTTCTCTGTGCAAGTGTGAACTGGTGAGGAATAGAAAATTTATATGTAAACATAAATTTATTTGCACCAATATCCACATTGTTTTTATATTTCCAATAATAATTTGGAAGCCTCTTGAGAAAGGAAAATATTTATTTATTTTGACAAGAGTATAAATTTTTATTGATTGATTACACATTACATCTCAATAATAATAAACAACCCTCAGAAATAATCAAATAATCGAAAGCAGTACCCATTTTAGCCAAATCATCAACGATATCGTTAGCATCCCTCTAAATATGGTGAAAACTTAATGACAATTGCGACATTATATCCATAATCTGCAACCACATAGCACAAAGCCTCCACAATGGCTGGACATCTTATTGCATCAATAAACAACATTAAGTGAATCACCTTCTATTATCAATGCATTATCGAATTGTCTCTCCCTCCATCTTAACACTCCTTGCAACAAAGCAGTAATAAGCTACACATGATACATCATCTCTTTTTTTTAACAATAAACTACACATTATCTCTTTGCGAAAGGAAAGTATTTCATAGTGCACTGTACTTCATGAACAATAAACTACACATCATCTCTTTTTTTGAACGTAATAAACTAGGCATGATCTGGACTGCCACTTTATCAAACAGATAGTTGATGTGAACCGTTCTCCCATCAACTTCCCATATGGCATAGGAGTATTCATCTTGACCGCCAGTTCTTCACAATGAACTATTGAGGGTGACACATAATCTACTGTTCAAAAACGACATGCCTCAATGTTTACGGCGCATTGTAAGAACTATAAAATATACTTCTAGGGTAATCTTCTGTTGTTGAAGAGGGGACCTCAAGAAAGACTAAAAGAAAAATTATGATGGTAATAAAATAATTTCAAACACACCATATAGAGCACACAACAATTTATGTGTTTCGGCTAGAAAGCCTACGTCCACGATCGATAACAGGCAGAAGAATCCACTAAGTGAGAAATTGTGAGTACAAGAAAAAACCACAGAAAACCCCTTAATTTTTATGCGGGTCTAATTACAAGGAGCAATAACTAAACCACAAAGTCTGAACCCTTTCACTCTATTTTTCTCACTCACTGAATAAACTCACCCACACATCACTTTCTTTGTGACTCCCTTCAACAAAAAAAGAGAACTCTCTCTCTCTAAAAATCCCCTTTGCCTCCACACCTGAATTGGTCGGAGAAGGAGCCCTTTTATGGGATCGATTTGCCACGTCAATTAATGCATTGCGTGTATGTATGCTTTGGGGCGGCTTTGCTCTCGATGGACTACGGCTCTTTTTCTTATCTTGTGAAAACTTTGAACTGATGCATTAAATGTATTGACAACTTGTGGGGAGTTGGTGAGGGGAAAGTCTCTTTGTGCTGAAACACCGACATGTGTTGGGCCCTCATAATAAATCTCCACCTCTCGGCTCATGTGGGTTTTGCTATCATAATGGAAACCTTCTGTTGTCTTCCATAGAGTGACCGAGGGGTGCATCCCAAATACTGTGAATACCAATCAAGTCCAAGCAATACTTGAACTTGACCACATGAATGGGCTTAGTCTCATGTATGCTGAATTATCTGTTGTAGCAACCTTCTTCACTGTGATGGTTCCTTGAGAGATGATCTCCTGAATGAAGTGAAATCTGACATCAATATGCTTGATTCTTTCGTATCAATATGCTTGGTTCTTTCGTGGAATATCTAATTTTGGTCAGATGTATTACGCTCTGGCTATCACAATACACAACAATCATATCCTGCTGCAAGCCCAGATCACTAACCAAATAGCTTCCTTTACTGCCTCAGTCGTTGCCATGTATTCTGCTTCTGTGGTTGACAAAGCAATAGCAGTCTGTAGGATCACTTTCCAACTGATGGCAAAACCTGAGAGAGTGAAGACATAACCTGTCAAAGATCTCCTCTTATCCAGACCACCTGTATAATCTAAATCCACGAACCCAATGACATTACCACTAGTGTCGCTATTCCTGTCGTATATCAAACCAACATCTGCAGTGCCTCTTAAATACCGAAGTGTCCATTTCACTGCCTACCAATGTGCCTTCCCGAGATGCTCCATATATCTGCTAACAACATTGACAACATGTGAAATATCTGACCGAGTGCAAACCAGAGCATATATGATGCTCCCAACTACATTAGCATAAGGAACACGTGACATATGCTCCACCTCCTCCTTGGTCTGCTGTGATAAAGCTGTTGAAAGCCTAAAATGAGCAGCTAATGGAGTATTCACAGGCTTAGACATCTGCATCCCAAAGCGCTCAAGTACCTTCTCAATATACTCTTCTGGGATAAGAACAACTTTCTCGTGTTTCTGTCCCTGTGAATTTCCATACCCGAAATCTTTTTAGCTGCACCCAAATCTTTCATCTCGAATTCATCACCCAGCTGAGCCTTCAACTTGTTGATCTCAGACATGCTCTTAACATCAATAAGCATGTTATCACCATATAATAATAAATACACAAAAGAACCATCCGAGAGCTTCCTGTGATATACGCAACTATCATAGTCACTTCTAGAGTAACCATGATCGATCTTAAAAGTATCGAACTTTTTGTACCATTGCCTTAAAGACTGCTTCAAGCTATATAATGACTTTTTCAACTTACATACATAGTCTTCCTTTCCCTGAACAGTAAACCCCTCTAGCTGATGCATATAAATCTACTCCTCGAGCTCACCATGTAGAAATGTTCTTTTAACATCAATTGCTCTAACTCTAAGTCGAGCAAAGCAACCATGGCAAGCAACATGCGAATGGAGCTATGCTTCACAAATGATGAGAACACTTCGTTGAAGTCCACACCTTCTTTCTAACTATAGCCCTTAGCTACCAAACATGCCTTGTACCTTGCACTTTCAACGCCTATAGTTCTTTCCTTTTTCTTGAAGACCCATTTGCAACCAATAATCTTCTTTCCCTTAGGCAGTTTCACAAGCTCCCAGCCTGATTCCACTGAAGAGACCCAATCTCCTCATTCATAGCAACAGTCCACTGTGCAGATTCATCGCTTGTGATAGTTTCGTCAAAACTGAAATGTTCTTGAGCTTCAATAGTCTCTGCCACTGTCAACGTATATGTAATTAAATCTTCATAGGCATATCTCTGAGGTGACCAAATTTGTCTCCTTTGTCTCCCAATAGCTATATTGTACTGCTGCTTCTCTGGTGATATTTCTTGTGTAATAGATTCTTTTACTTCTTCCTGAATAGGCTGATCTTGAGTGTCCTCCTACACTTTGTCTGAGGTCTCACACTCTAGCTCTACCTGCTCACTAACACTGTGGTCTTTTCTTGCATCCATACATTCCTTTCTTGGGTGAAGCATGGCATATTTATTAAAAGTAACATCCTCACTAATGATAAACTTGGGTGGCTTAGGATCAGGGCACCACAATCTATATCCTTTTACCCCTGATGCATATCCAAGAAATATGCATTTCTTTGCCCTAGGTTCTAGCTTTTCCTCATTAACATGAGCATAAGCAGGATAACCAAATAATCTCAAATTTAAGTAATTTGCAGAAGCATCAGACCATACCTCTTGAGGACTCTTACACGCAATGGCAGTTGATGGAGACCTATTCACCAAATGACAGGCTATGTTAACTGCTTCAGCACAAAAGTTCTTGGATAACCCGGCATGAGAGAGCATATAAAGAGCCCTCTCCAAAAGAGTTCCATTCATATGTTCTGCAACCCCATTTTGCTGTGGGGTACCTCTCATGGCGCGGTGTCTTAGAATGCCTTCATTCTTGCAGAACTCATCAAATTCACCTCCACATAATTCCAAATCATTATCAGTTATAAGCCCTTGATCTTCTTGCCAGTCTTCTTCTCAATCATGGTCTTGAACCGTTTGAAGGTGACGAACATATCACTCTCGTGTTTTAAAGTATACACCCAAACTTTCCTTGTATAGTCATCAATGAAAGTTAAGAGATTTCGAGAACCACCCTTAAAAAGAACATAGGAGGGACCCCAAAGATCTGAATGAAAATAATCCATTGTTCCCTTGGTTATGTACTTAGCTGTACTGAATTGCACCCTGTACTGTTTTCCAAAGACACAGTACTCACAAGAGTCCATCTTACTAGTTTTTTTACCACCAAGCAAACTCTGTTTGCTCAATATTGCCATGACTCTATCACTCATATGCTCTAGACGTATACACCACAGACGAGTAGTGTTTGAATCTAAATCCACTGAAAACGATACAGCCATGACAATTGTAACCTTGAAGGAAATAGAGGCTATTGACTCTCTTTCCCTTCAATACAATGATAGCACCTTTAGAGACTTT